CCGCAGCAGAGATCGCAGGCTGGAGAACAGCACTGAGCTTTTCCAGACCTTCCTGCAATACGCCTTACTGCTCTGTGTGTGTGTGTGTGTGTGTGTGTGTGTGTGTGTGTGTGTGTGTGTGATAGGGATGTTACAAATTATATATACATTATTCAGAACAAACAGATAATATTTTCTAAACAGATACAAATAGGAGGCGCACTATTGATTTTTTTTAAAGAAAAGTTCACATTGCGTATGGTTGAGATTAGATATGTGCATCGGGACTGGGATCCTGCAAGACGCAAGCGAAAATGAGTTTTTACTTTCATGCGGGTGCAAGCGAGCGGTCAGATATGAAAGTTGTGGGACAGAAGACCACGATCATTAACGTGAACTTACTCGAGTTCAATCATTCATCCTTAGTAACTGCCTGGTCAGGGTTGCGGTGGTTTACATTAGGCTGCTAGTTTATATTTAGAAAACTAGAACCAACTAAAGCTGTTAGGAAAAAAATCATAAGCAGGTGCAAATACACATGACTGAGTGACCATCCCATGCATGTCTCCAGTTGAGAACTGAGTGATGTAGCTGAGGTTGAGGAACTGTCAGAGCCAGAATTCACACACCATGCCGATGCTGCTGACATTTCTACATCTAGTTTGTGTTTTGTTTCTTTTCCAGTGTTTTCACTTGTTTTGGAGTGCATAGTAGTAGGATGTGGCCTAAACTGGATTTAGTTCCAGTTTAGGCCACACCCACTTCCAATTTAAATCCATATACAGATACAGGTACAGATATTTGGAGCACTAAACAGATACAGATACAGATAGTGGCATTGTGTTGCACCCAAAGTGTGTGCACATTACTGGAAACGGTACGAAATCAGGATTTTTCTGTATCAGTCTAACTGAACCTGCTGCTGAAGTTTTTGAGTCAAATCCGATTGCGATTGAAGGTGTTGAGAAGTAATGTGATTTATTCTGAGAATCGATTCTGAGGTTTGATTCGGATTCAAAGAACTGATTCCACACAGAAGATCAATAACATGATAGACTGAAAGAATAAAAAGATACGTTCTCTGTACAAGAAGTCCATGTCTTCACAGTCACGTGACTACAAGACCCGTGCACATGTGTATGTGTATGTGTATGTGTGTGTCCATGCGTGTGTTTTCTTATTAAACTGTTAGTGCCCAGGTGTGTGGATTAGATACTGTGGGTTTTTTGTGCAGGTTATGAGTATTTATATGTTTTCTTATTAGCTTTTTTGGTGTGTGGATTAGTTGCTGTGTGTGTGTGTATGTGTGTGTGTGTGTGTGTGTGTGTGTATGTGTGTGTGTTTTGAGAGTGAGGAGGTTATGTGTGGTCGATGAGTCACAACAGAGAACTCGATGTGTCTAAAGGCACTTGTTTTGAGTGGAGAGAAAATGCTGTGTTTTCCAGCTCATGTCTCCTGAGGCGGAGTGAGAGAGAGACAGAGAAGGAGAAAAAGAGATGAAAACACTTTTCACTGATCTTCTCTCCAGCAGGTCTCTCAGGCTAACCTAACTGCTCTTCTGACTCCTCATGATTCACTGTGCTTCACCTGTTGGTGGTAAACTCGGTTCACGTTTGGCACCAGTAAACCCCCGGTCTCGACCTGAGCAGAGGGTAAATTTGGGCAGGAGGACAGGGGGGCTGAGCTGGGCTATGTGTCTGTAATTTAACAGAAATGTAAATCACAGCGTATAATGTAAATACATAATGTTATAATAATGCTGATATAATACAGTTCCACACTTCTTTCTCCTTGCTTTTCTCTTTGTCTTTTCCACTTTATAGAAAATGCTTTCAATCAGTGAAAACTGTAAAATTATGCAACGTGTGTTGATTTTGCTCTTTTAAATGCTTTACCGTTTCGTGCATCTTTGCCAGAAAAGGATCAGATATTCTTAATGTGAGCACGAAATATCATGATGACAGAACTGACAAATTTAAAAAAAAAAAAAAAAAAAAAAAAAACCTGAAAGGATTCAAACTGCTGGATGTAATGATTTTGGAGAAGAAGAGTTCGGTAGAAAAACATAAACTGTATGTTACTAAACTGTATCATTTCTTGTCTCTGGGATGGTACTCTCAAGCATACGCATTTTGTATCTTTAGTGTGTATCTTTTACCTAGAAACATGCATGAAGTGTACATTTAAAGCTTTATTCTTCAAGGTAATCACAGTCCAATTATGTAACTTAGCGGCTAGGACAGGAACAGCTTAGTACCCTGACATTTCATAACATGCGCTGTGAAATAATTTGAGCACACAGATTAATCTCTCAGATGCCAGTGCCAAGTCAATACACATTCAGAGAGAATTCAAGGCCACATCTTAAACTGTATAATGCACACTAACTAAGATAATGAAATATTAATGAGACTAAAGCTGTACTGATGTACTGGTATAGTAGTATGTGAGTTATGATGAGGTCTGAGTATTCATGTGTTCCTGACTCAAAATCTGCTGCCAATGTGTATTTTTCTCATTAATTCCCACTCAAGAACACATGTTAGAAACTATTTCTAGTCCCTTGACTCATTTTTTTAATAATCATATGCACTGCAGCTGTAAGATCTGTTCACTGTAGTTAATTAAGCTGAGCCCTTTAATCACATTGTTTGATATTGGACTCCATATAAGAATACATAAAAACATAACATTAATCTTTCAACATTTCTGGGACCCATAAAAAATTCCCAATGAAGCCCATGGAATAGCGGAAGCAAGTTAGGTTTACTCTAAAAAAAAAAAAAATAAAAATCCATGGTTAGTAAATACAGCTTAATTTACAGTAAACTAGCACATTCACCACAGAAAATGTTAAAAAAGGGTAACAGACATGTCTGGGTAATGTGTCAGAGAATAAAAGACACACTTGACTAAATGTCACACTTTTACATCAGGCGCTAGCATCAGATTCAATGTAGTGACAGTAACTACACTTCACGTTGGGCGTCATCTCAGGACCCCGTCACTGAACATCATAGCACGTCCTCGAGTGTGATATTCTTATGTTAGCCTTTTCGAGTTAATAAAATAACATAATGAAGTTTTTGGAAATATAGATGTGTATGACGAAGGAGGCCACTTTAATAGTTACTAGATTGGTACACCTGGTAGACAGGCAACTCATTGTGTACTTTTAGAAAACAAACGGTTCTTCAAAGGTTCTTCAGGTGTGTAAAGGGAAATATTAAGATTTGACATGCTGCTGTGAATCAATAAGGCTTTGTAACTCACACAGTATTTGTATTGCATTAGTATTAATGGAATCTTGTTTGAGAAATATTCATCGATGAAGTAATAACACCAGCTAAAACGGTTTTAATCCAGCACCTAAAGAGTTCTTCAGGTTATCCCTTTGGGGGAACCCTTAAAGGTTTTATGGAGGAACCCTATGATGAGTTTCCCCTTTCGAAAGGATTCCACATAGACACTTTTCTCTCGTATATTTTAGACAGTCTTTTTTATAAAGGTGTTTGCACCCAGTGAGCTAGAGGAACCCCATAAAATATTTCAGTAGTTATATTTTATATAACAGCAGGCCTCTGTGAATGGACAAATTACAGCTGGGATTTACAGCGAACTTCACGCAGTAGACGTTTCAGGGCTCCACATTATTGTGGCCATCCATTTAAGCGCTACAGGAGGAAGCGCTATGGCTCAGCGCGTGGCCGTGTGATTTGTAGGTTGCAGACCCTGAGGTCAGTCTTGGCTCCTGACTGCGATTTGACCTCCATTTGTCTTTACTTTAATTACCTTTATAACTTTATGGTGGTTCTTCTTCTTCTGATCGCCTTTACCCTGTGATAATGCATTTCTCTCATGATGGGTATGGTCTGTTTCAGGATGACCCCGCCCCCCCATCCACAGGGCACGAGGTCTCACTCGTCTATAAATACTACAGTGCCATTATGTGTACAGTGAGCATATTTGGTGAATAGGTGGTCATTCAGTATATGTGCACAGTGGGCTGTTTTCTAAAATGGCGACTTGAGTCTAAAGGTTATGTCAGTATTTACATTGGGAAAGTTACTCGTATTCAGAATCGGGTTATGCAGCTGCTTGATTCCATTCTCTTGAGTAGAAGCGTCCAAGATGGTGTTTTTCAACACTGTCTAGACCACCAGCTTTATAGATATGGGGGATAGAAGATGTGGACTGTAACATAAAAGGAAGAGACTATTAAAAAAAAAAACAAGACTAATATGATGATATAAATGAGAAGATATCAAGGACTGAATTAAACACACAGACACACAGATATCTTGTCAAAGCTGACTGCAAAAAGCTGGAGGCAATTCATACTCATGCAGTTTTGACACAGACTAGAGTAGTGATCATCAGCACATTGGTATTCTGTGCAATAAATACATTTTTATACATATTAAAAGAGCAATAAGTGCTTACGAGTGCTGTTTATTGCACATGACAAGCATGCTAAACTGCTGTCATGTCCTAATAAATGAAGATCTTCATTCTGATCGTTCTATCATCATGTCTCCTGGAATAATGCCACGGTCACGGTATTATGCAAATGAAATACTAGACGATGTGTTGACTTCTAATGGGACTGAGGGATGATAGTACGCTTCATTTTTTCCTCACTGAGAAAAAATAGCCGTGAATTTTGTTTCCTATCAGATAGTTGTACCGAGTAGCACAGTTGGTGAGAGTCACCGTGCTGCTACGTGCTTGAAGTGTTTAACGTACACAAATAGAACAGCGCCGGTGCTTTTGCTGCAAATAGACAAATTGATTGTGAAGAGTAAACATTGTTTTTGAATCATTCTGCCACGAGTACACACTTATTCAAATAAAAGCTTACACCTAACACTCTTTAGGGTTATTTGTCTTGTCCCCCTGTGACAACAGAGGGATTCTATCAGAGGGTTCCTGGTAGAGTTCCTTTAGGAAGCTAGGAACCCTTCACTACCAAAAAGAACCCTTGTACATCCAGTGGTGGTTTTGCAAACGTTCTGTAGCTAGGTGGTTTTAGCTCAGGGGGTCAAGCTTTGGGCTGCTGAGCAGAAGGTTGTGAGTTCAAATCCCAACACTACCAAGCTGCCACTACTGGGTCATTGAGCAACACCCTTAACCTTCATCTGCTCAACTGTAAGTTTCCTTGGGGAAAAATAATCATCTGCCCAATGAGGAAATGTAGCTAGTTAGTTGGTGTGGCCATGCCACACTTCCCAGGAACTACTAGTGCAACCATGGCAACTCAAGATAAGAATTCCTAGGTGAACAATTGGTAAAATAAGAGCCAGAGAGGGTGAAGGCTAACACGTGCTTCCTCATGAGACACGTCTGCTGCTCATGCTGCATCATAAGGCAGTGTAACACACTCGGAGGAAGGTGAGATCCGCCCTCTTCCCCAAACATGAGCTCACAGATGTCCATGATTGGCTAGTGTCACTGTCATTGACAGGGGAGAGAGAGTATAACATCCTTCCCACTCAGAGAGGGATGTTCCTGGCCACAGATGGCTGTGGCATCATCGGGATTTGGACTCGTGATGAAAGGGGGAAATCTTTTCTTTTGCACCACTAGGGATCATCTTTTGTACCTTTAATGTGTATCTTTTACCTGAAAAGGTGTATGTTGTGTACCTTTAAAGTACTACTCTAAAAGCTAATTAAAGGTACAAGAGTGGTCCTTAATATCCAATAGTGTGATTTAAATCATTTTTAACGGTAACTACATTCACATTACCATGTAATAGATACAGAGAGTACCACCCAAGTGACAAGCAGCAATACAGTTTAGTACCCTTTATTTCTGAGAGTGCATCTACTACTTGCATAACATTCTTTACCTTATCTTAACATCTTTATGATCTCTAACATAGAATGCTAATAATGCATCTACATGGCAGTTTGAGTGCAACACAGTGGTGGATCAATGTAGAACTTATCTCTGACCCAAAACAGACAATGTGGAGATTAGGTTAATGCCCCGCTAGCTTCTCTTCATGGTTATCCACGTTAGCGTGTCGGCTGAACTAGCTGTTTTTGAACACATGGAGTTTCTTATGTTTTATTACAGTTTACTTTAGACACAAATTTAGACACGAATAGTAAAATACATAGTGTTCAAAAACTAAATATAAAAAATATAGTGTTTGGCTGACAGAGTAGTCAGTGTCTGGAATCAAACCGTATGGCCTTCTGTGCTGATCTAGCATTTCCTTTGTAGATGAAGAGAAGCTCTGCCAAATAGAGAAGTAGGGAAGAAGCTGGAAGAACATCTTGCTGTTGCATTAATAGCAGAAACATTAGGGACTGTATTGTGTGCTGTAGTGACGCATACTCATGTCGTGTAGCAGCAAAAAATATGATCATTTCCCAGAGGTTAAAAATAAAATATCTTATTTTTCTCTTCTTTTTTTTCACTTTGTGTATACAGGAAGATGTTTTATGTGTAGTTTTATTTATTACCTGATGTCTTTGTGTGTGTGTGTGTGTGTGTGTGTGGTGTGTAGTACAGAGAGAAATTTAGACTGTATTTTTGTGTGCATATATATCTTGTGGCTAAAGCAGATGTGTATTCCCTTATGTCCCTTACACACACACACAGCTGCGCTACTCTACCTATTACAGGTTCTAGTATGTCAAAATAATGACCCATCTTTTTTCTTCTCTCTCCTGGCTCCAGGTGTGAATTGGAGCTTTTCTCTTACTTCGCTCTTCTCCCATCACATCGGCGCTCTAAGTGACTCCGCAGGGCAGAAACAGGCCTCCAAACATACTCAAACACACGCACACACCACACAGCCGCCATCGTCACCTGGAGGCCATCACTATCTGGACAGGTAAAACTCCTTCACCCAGAGTGTAATAATCAAGAATTAGATTAGGCCACATATTGCTCTGAGCTTTAGCGGGCCAGTATTTTTATGCTTCTCTCCTTTTTTTTTTTCATTTTTATTTTTCCCCCTGAAGTGCACTTATGAGGTCTGTGTGGTTCTTATGCGCGGAGTGAAGTCCTCAATAAACTTCAGCCGCTCCTTTAGGAGACGGTTCTGAATGCTTTGGAAGGCTAGTCAAAGATACATTTTCATCAGGAACAGGAAAAACACACCGTGTAGCTGTTTCCCCATAACACCTACACCTACAATTGTTTGCATATATGCAAATTGGTTTATGGTAGTGATGTCATAACCACAAGGAATCCAAAACGGGCTGTCTTTGCAGTCTTTCCATTGCATATATAGAATGTGTGAAAGTGTACTGAACACTTTTATTTAATAAATAAAGAAAGAAAGAAAGAAAAGTGATTTTCTATGATATTGACCGTTAGGTATTGAGTGAGTTTTTTTAGTCTCTCCTTAATACAGGCACTTGGGGTGTTTTATTCGAGTATACGTAGCTCTTGATTATAACATGGAGTCAAAAGGTTTGAATAGACTGGACTCTGAAAACCTTTCTGTCTAGAAAATGATTGTAAACTGTCTACAGATACACCCAGGGCAATAAAACATGACAAAGCACTTGGGGATGTGCAGGTATAGGACAATAAACTTCAGTGTGGTGAGAGTAACTCTGCTTTGCATCTGGTGGCATCACACCAGCCCACTGTTGATTATTTTCCTCTAACAGTATATTTATCCCCAAGTATTTACTCCTCTTACACTGCAAACATGGTATCTTAGCAAGTGAAACTATCTTGGGCAAATGTATCTAATGTTTCTTATTATGGGATTATTATAAACCAAATATAAAATTATCCAGCCTGTTTTCAGATGCTTTTACACATTTCAAGCTTTACACTTTCTTATTCTGTTGCCAGATATTTTTTTTTTTTATTTCCTAGGAATAAATTAGCCAAATAAATAAATTAACCATTATTTCAGTTTGAAATTAGTAAAAAAAAAAAAAAAAAAAAAGTCTAGAAATACATTTAATAATAATATAGTTAATTTATGTGTAAAAATTAGATTTAATTTAAAAGATCAATTTGACCACATTCAAGATGTTTTCACTGGCTGCCACTTTTTTTGCAATTACGCTTACACAACAAATACAATTATTTATTTATTAAAGAACAAGGCATCATATTTTTATCCATTAATAGTTACATATAATGTTGAAGAATGTCCACTGAACAAATTAGTTCCTTTTACGTTATAACAGCTACAGTATAAACAGTCTTAAAGTCACTTTCTCTTGAAGGTAAGTCGAATAATTCGAAGAAAAAAGTAGAAGAATGACGAATAATTAATCAAATGTCCTGTAAGACTTTCCCTTGTTGGAAGAATTTAAGTTACAGGGTTAAATTTTATAGCTTTTGCGAATTCTTCAAAATGTTACAAAATGTTAAATAACTGTCACCTTACAGAAAACCCGACCATATCAATGATCATATGATTTCTTTGTTAAACATCTGTACAGTATGTAACTATACAGTAGAAACAATAATGTAATAGAATGAGAGCATGTGATTTGCATCCAGAACTACTGTCAGATCTGCTGTTCAGTTTAAAATTAATCAATAGCTACTGACCAATCAGCTTTGAGAATCCAGTAATGCTTTAGTATAAACAATAGCAATGGCTGGAAGATTTGTTCCCAAGAGCGACCCATGAGGATGACAGACTTTTAACCAAAAAAAATACAGCAAAAGATGGTATTATTTAACGACAGTAATATGCAAGCCTGTGTGTGTGTGTGTGTGTGTGTGAGAGAGAGAGAGAGAGAGAGAGAAAGAGAGAGCCTGGCTCTGGAAACACTAAAAGCTGTGTGTGGGTTGAATGCGTGGGAATGAGCGTGATGCTGGAATAAAAACCCAAATATAATAAATACTGCTCTTCTCTTTCACTCAGTCTCTCTTTCTCTCTGTCTTTCTCTATCGCTCTCACTCAGCTTCATTCTTTCTTTCTCCTTCGTTTTTTTCCTATCTATCTATCTATCTATCTATCTATCTATCTATCTATCTCTCTGTCTGTCTGTCTGTCTGTCTGTCTGTGTGTTTGCCTATCTGTCTGTCAGGAATGGATGATTGTGTGTGAGTCTCTAAAGAGTTTAATGGCTGTGTTCATGGTGAAGTGATTAAAGGGCAGAGGTGTGCTGACGCTAATGACACACACACACACACACACACACACACACACACACACACACACACACACAGCCTCATCAGTTGTTCATGAGAAGTTCATGGGAACATATCTTCCAGGAATTTCTATTGTTTATACCTGTTAAAATCTGATTGGTCTGAAGGCACTGATTAGTTTTCTGTAACAGCGCAGCTACGGATCAGCTGCAGGTTTATAATAATGCGCTCGTTCTACTACGCTAGCGTTTCCGTAGTAACAAGAGAGGAAAAAAAAGACAGGAAAGGACTGTTTGATGCTATAATGTTAAGTGATAACAGAAACTTGCAGATGTTCCACAACATCCAAAAAGTTACTTTAAACAGATAAAAATTACAACGTGTCAGACGCCGTCGCTGATTCCTTTTTATAACAGCACACTCCAGAGTGTTTTAATTAGTTGCATAATTTTGTTTTCTGCAATGTTTGGATCAGTCAATCTAGTAAGAAATGATGTTTTGTAAAAAGCTATTGACGTGAGAATAACGAGGTTGGGTGGTGGAGCTCATCAGTTACGTGTTTAGTATATGAGTACATGGAGTGTGACTAACATGTGCTTGTGTTAACAGAAAGCAGCCATCTTGTTTATTAATGTCCTGACTCACTCAACAAGAATTAGATCATTCTCCCACAGTTTACGTGCCTGTTATCCATCTCAATGCAGCCTGCTAAAAAATCTGACATTCATATGTGGATTGTTATTGAGCATCTCAATACAGATACACACACGCACACACACACACACAAACTAAACCACCAGACAGACATCAATACCTGCAAGCAATTATATAAGACTGATCTCCCACTTCCTTCCATTTCAGTCAAATCAGTCCTGTAAGTGCAGATGTGGTGAAAGTTATTTAGTAGAGTAGCCAAAAGTCCCAAATGTCCCATTTAACAGCTGTTTAAGAGCTGTTTTTACATTGTCACTTTTTTTATGGTCCACTGATCTAACAAACATGCTCAGT